ATGCCTTAGTAGACTATTGACTCATTAGGGCAGATCTTTTTATTTTATAAGGCCAGGACATAATTGTTTAAGTGGTCTTGTGCCTCTTTCCCCTTGTCAGGACTCGGCCCCTGGCTTGCCTTTCAGTTGACCTCCCAAATCCCAGGCAGCCTTTGAAGAGATTACTTAGGGCCCGCCTTGCCTAGAGAGTGCTCTGTGCACATCTCTCCCCCTTGCCATATCATTTCTACTGCCTGTGTTTATTGGTTTAATAAATTCCCTTTAGTTAACACCTCCTAAATTGGATTAGAATCACTTAAATCCACACTGAGTGCTACTAAGTGGAGATTTTATACTCAGCCTCTCTAAATCCTTGCAACAATGTGATGAGGATATTAGAGTTGCCTTAACCCAAGGGGATGAAGTTCAAACTAGTGGCTTTTCACACATATGGTGGGCTTGCTGGATGAAAAAGAGTTTGGTTTTTCAATCCTTTTTATAAAACACATGGTTCTTGTTAGGAGAATCTTTGAATAATTGTTGAGCTAAAATTTTAAAAAGAGAGTACAAAGAAATTTGCTTTGATGCAAGCATTGTCTAAACAGTGACACAACTTGAGAGGTAATAATGCATGTACACTAGCGTATCCAAGGCACGATGTCTGTTTTCTGATGTTGAATGTATTGCTCAACCGTCCTGGAAAATGACATTTTCATGTACCGAATGACAATGCGTCTTATGTGTAAGGCATTACAAATCAAAATGCTATTTACTATAAATAAGCTTCTTGACTGTGAAGAGGGTGCCTGTTTAACATTTACATGATCTAAACTAATTGTTTTTTTCCCCTCTGTTTATGAACTGGTAGTTTGTTCTTTTGGCTTTTTTCGCTGATAATTAGCAGAAGTTCACAAAGAGAGGTGAACTTAAGTAAAATACGTATTGCTCTATGTTGCTGCTCTATGTGTAATTCAGGAATATGTCTTGGTAGGAAGCAGAGGATGAGTTTTCAATTTTATTTTTGGATTTCAATCATGCATGCCACTCCTATGGCCTGTGACTCTATATAATTAAGAATTAGCTGTATGTTTCACAGTGACCCAGCCTGTAGTCATTGGTTCTGATCTTCAGTTCTCACTTAACCTAGGATAAAATAGAAATAGAATCTGGGTCATTTTTTACCCTCTTCTGCTCAATTCTAGTTAGATGATTTGAGCTGCTATAAAATATTTGTGCAATCTTATCAATGGTAATGTGTACAATTCCTACCTCCAAGTAGAAAAAGATTCCTTATTTCTTGATCCATGTCCTGGGATCCTATCACATGCTGTTGGCCATATAATAGGTATAATTTTCTATTTTTGTTTTGTTTATACATTTTGTAGAGACTTTGGAATTTGAAAAACATGATACATTTGGGGTATATCAGAGAAAATATTTGTTAATGCTAATTGAATCTATTAATACTTTTCCCTGTTTGACTGGTGATTTTATAAATAGTCAACTCTCCCCTCCTCATTATCTGGTTGTACTTTATTGTTCCACACCCCAAACCTGTGGCCATTTTTGTCTTGTGTTCAACAACCTAAATCATACAGTTGTGAGATGCAAGCGGGTGTGATGGTTCAACTTCCTGCGTTAAGTAGTGCTACAAGTAAACTATCCGAATAGTCTACTTCTAAATTCCTCCAAGAAGGCAAATTTCATGATTTGCCTCAAACGTAACTTCCTCTCTTAGAGAAGCTTTCTGTCTCCTTCTCTAATCACTTCCTCTCTTCCCTTGTGCTTTTGACAGTTCATTCCTTCAATAAATACTGAATAAGTTTTGGTCAATGTCTTTCTCCCTCTAAGCTGAAAACTTGATGGAGAGTAACATGGTTTGTCTTTGTTTACCACTGCATCTTCTATAAACATACATTATAAATATTGAACAAATTTGTATTAAACGAACAAATACTTTGATAACATTTTTGATACCTGCCATTGTCAGTACCTGAATTGATTCTAAAATTCTGCTGGAACATATTGTCTGCATTATGACTGCTGAAACATTTAAAGTGGATGGGAATACTATGTTTTGTTTTGTTTTATTTCATTAACCTTCTCTGTACTTGTCTTTATCTTTGGAATCTTTTAAAATAAAGATAATTTACATTTAGAATAGAAGCAAATTATTTTTAAAGTACTTTGTTTTCATAAGGTAAAATGCTTATGTGCAGTTGTAATCAGGTAACTCTTTCTTTTTTTTTTTTTTTAACTTGCCCAAGGTTGCTTTTATTTATTTCTTTATTTTTTCCTTTAAAAACAAACTGTACAAATTTATGGGGTACGTGTGCAATTCTGTTACATGCATAGATAATGTAGTGGTCAAGTCAGGGCTTTTACGGTTTCTATCATCTGAATAATGTACATTGTACCCATTAACTAATTTCTCATTATCCACTCCCCCCTACCCTTCCCCCACCTGAGTCTCCATCATCTGTCGTTCCACTCTCTATGTACATGTGTACACATTTCTTAGCGTCCACTTGTGAGTGAAAACATGCAATACTTGTCTTTCTTTGCCTGGCTTATTTCACTTAAGATAATGGCCTCCAGTTCCATTCATGTTGCTGCAAAAGACATGATTTCATTCATTTTTATGGCTGAGAAGTATTCCATTGTGTATATATACCATATTTTCGTTATCTATTCCTCCATTGACAGACACTTAAGTTGATTCCATATATAGGCTATTGTGAATAGTGCAGTGCTGCAATAAACATATGAGTACAGATGTCTTTTTGATTCATTGATTTATTTTCCTTTGGGGAGATACCCAGTAGTGGGATTGCTGGATTGAATGCTAGTTCAATTTTTAGTTCTTTGAGAAGTCTCCACACTGTGTTCTGTAGAAGTTGTACTAATTTACATTCCTACCAACAGTGTACAAAATTCCTTGAGAAGTCTCCATACCATTTTCTGTAGAACTTGTACTCATTTACGTCCCCCCTAACAGTGTATAAGAGTTTTTTTCTCTGCATCCTTGTCAACATCTGTTATTTTCTGTCTTTTTAATAATAGCCATTGTGGCTTTAATTTGCATTTCTCTGACGATTGGTGATGTTGAGCATTTTTTCATATACCTGTTGGCCATTTGCATGTCTTCTTTTGAAAAGGATCTATTCATGCCCTTTGTCCACTTTTTAATGGAATTATTATCATTGTTTTTGTTGTTGAGTTCCTTGTAATATATTCTGGATATTAGTCCCCTGTTGGATCAATACTTTGCAGATATTTTTCCAGTTCTACAAGTTGTCTGTTTACTCGGTTGATTATTTCTTTTGCTGAGCAGAAGGTTTTTAGTTTAATTAAGTCCTGTTTGTCTATTTTTGGTTTGTTGTCTGTGCTTTTGAGGTCTATTCATAAATTCTTTACCTAGGCCGATGTCTGGGAGAGTTTTCCCTAGGTTTTCTTCTAGTGTTTTTTATAGTTTGGGTGTTATGTTTAAGTCTTTAATACATCTTGAATTGATTCTTGTATATGGTGAGAGTTGAGGGTCTAGTTTCATTCTTCTGCATGTGACAATCCAATTTTCCTAGCATCATTTATTGAAAAGGGTATCCTTTCCCCAGTGTATATTCTAGTCTGCTTTGTCAAAGATGGATTGGCTTATAGCAACAGGGCTTTTCTGGGTTCTCTATTATGTTCCATTGATTTATGTGTCTATTTTCATACCAGTATCATGATATTTTGGTTACTATAGCCTTGTAATATAATTTGAAGTCAGATAATGTGATGCCTCCAGCTTTGTTCTTTTTGCTCAGGGTTTCTTTGGCTGTTTGGGCTCTTTTTTGGTTCCA